ATTGAAAACAATCTATGCCTTATATATACGAAAAATGTCGTACATTGTACGAAAGGTTTCATGGTTTCTCACTATGAAATTGTTTCGTAATATACAAAATTGTACGAAATATTTTCGTATAATGCAAAATAATTTTAGAAATGTGATTCGATGTTAAGGTCAATTGTGATTTTATGTTTGCCGCTTGTGATGATTTTAAACAGCAAACTTTACGAAAAGGTGTCTTAATAGAATTATAAATGATTTGGATTACAGAGGTTGATATCAACAAAAATACAGACAGACGGAGTTAGCCCAAACGATTCCACTCTCTATAAACATCCAGAATCAACATATTGAAAAAACTTATATACATATATATCCTTCTCATGAAAGATATATAAAACGACTACATTTTACCGGTATCGAATTTTGTTTGCGATTCTGATTCACCCGTGATTTTTGCTAAAAATCCAAAAACCAACATACTCAAATAAAACCACTTTTCTATTTTAGTCTGTAAATATTTTCTAATTATTCATCAAATAATACATATTAAATACCTTTTCTAAATTAGAAACTTTTTCCCTTAATAGGGAAGTAAAGTAAAAACTTTCATTACCATGTAAGGGGTTAAAATGCTAAAATTTACTTACACAATAGCATTTTAAGTCATTATTTAAACACGGTGATGTCATTGGAGGCAAGTACTTACCACACACGATTACAAGTAATTAGAAAAAGTAGTCATTGTAAATCAAATGAAAAATCACATACATCATCTATATCTTCACTGGCAAGACGACTAATGCATTAGAAAGTAATTATATAACACATTATTAGTAAGACCTTAATAGACTACTTCTATGTAATCAAGGCGATATGTAGTATTCATTGAAAAGTATGTTGTTAGGTAAGTTATTACAAATGAAAGCCATTACCTAGTTTTTGCTGGACGAATATTCAATATACCATTCTATTGAATAGTCAATATGCTACTTTAAAGACTAATCAGCGTACTAGTCGATTGGCCAGTCAAAAGAGCAGGCCATAGAGTAGACCACAGACAAGTCAAAAGTCTAGTCATAGAACAACCAAAATACTACTCCATAAACTTCTGTTAAGACTAATCAAGATACTAGTTTACAGACTACTAAATAGGCTAATCAACAGGCTAGCCCATCGACTATATAGTTGACCAGTCAACACACTAGTCCATAAACTAGTCAATATACTAGTCCATAGAGAATTCCAAAGATTAGTTAATCATCTAGCCCAAAGGCTTATCTCAAGTCCCCTTAACATTGACCAACCAAGTGGTTAGTAAATAGACTTGTCTTGTCCATAGACTAGTCAATAGACAAATCTGAAGTCAATATACCATGACGTTGAGTAGTAAATAGATTAGTTAAAAGACCAATAAATAGGCTAGTCAATAGACCGACTGGTCTAAAGACTAGTCCATAAACTAGTCAACACACTAGTCCATATACTAGTTAATAAACTAGTCCATAGACTATTCCAAAGACTAGTTTATCATTTAGCCCAAAGGCTTGTCTAAAGTCCACTTATCTTTGACCAATCAAGAGGATAGACTTGTCCTGTCTATAGGGTAGTCCGTAGACCAGCCAATAGACAAATCAGAAGTCAATAGACTATTACCTTGAGTAGTAAATAGATTAGTTAAAAGACCAATCAATAGAGTAGTCGAAAAACTAGACTAGTCCAAAAACTAGTCCATATACTAGTTAATAAACTAGTCTATAGACAATTCCAAAGACTAGTTAATCATCTAGCCTAAGGGCTTATCTAAAGTCCACTTATCATTGACTAATCAAGAGAGTAGTCAATAGACTTTTTATTTCCATAGGGTGGTCCATAGACCAGCCCATAGACAAATCTGAAGTCAATAGACTATTACCTTGAGTAGTAAATACATTAGTTAAAAGATCAGTCAATAGCCTAGTCAAAACACCAGTTAATAGACTAGACAATAGGCTAGTCAATTAGCTAGTCAATTGGCTGGTCAATTAACTAGTCAATAAACCAGTCAATAAACTAGTCAATGGACTATCCAATAGACTAGAAAATAGACAAAAGACTAGTCAATATACTGGCCAATAGACTAGTCAATAGACTAAACAATAGACTAGAAACTATACTAATCATTAGACTAGAAAATAAATTAGCCGATATACTAGTCGTAGGCTACATAGCTAATAGAGTAGTCAATAGACTAGTCATTAGACTAGAAATAAATTAGTTAATAGACTGGGCATAGACTAGAAAATAAACTAGTTAATAGACTAATCTATATACTAAAAAATAGGCTAGTTTATTCACCAGTCAAAGCTATAGCCATTATACTAGGTAGACTAGTTAATAGACTTGCCAATAGACTATTCATTAGACTAGAAACTATTCTAGTCAATAAACTAGAAAATAGACTAGATAATAGACTAGTCAATCGATTAGGAAATATAGTGGTCATTAAACTAAAAAATGGACTAGTTCAAGACTAGAAATTAAATCACCCTAATAGACTAGTCAATACCCTAGTCCATATACTAATCAACTGACAAGTCAATTGACCGGTTTAAATGTAACCCCTATATTTCTAATCAAATATTTATTTTATAAAATGTTTTTTATGGAAATTCTGTTTTATAAACCTTTTATAAAAACAAAAAGTAAAAATGTATACTCGGGCATGTCCGACCCTATGATACCCTACACCAGTGAGTATGTTAAAAATGTGGATTATTTTACTAATAATAAAGCATTTTACCTTAATTCCAAAATATTTTAACAATTTGTTGCCAAAACAAAAGAGATTTTCTGAAAGAGAGTTTAAATGGGGGCAAAGGTGAATATGGTCCTATCCGTATAAATAAAGATAGAGCGATTTACGATGACATTAAACTTATTTATACAGAATTTCATCGCTATACTAATGTTTAAAGTTGAATTTTCACCTTCAAGTAAGTTTTTGAAGGGGACTTTGTAGGGGGGCTAGGGTCAAATGAAGCCCGCTCACTATGAAAATCGGCAGTATCATTTAAACTTACATATATAAAATCAAAATTTGCCGATATACATAGATTATACAACATTTAACATAATTAGAAATTCAAACGTTATATTCCTGCGGTACGGTTGTATGGGACCGATCATTTTCGTTTGTCCTTGAGTCAAAAGAAGAGTATGTTGCAAATTTCACCAAATTATCTTGAAATTGTGCACACGCTACAGGTACAAGCTTTACATGGACATACGGACAGACAGACAGACGGACAGACAGACAGACAGACAGACAGACAGACAGACAGACAGACGACAGACAGACAGACAGACAGACAGACAGACAGACGGACAGACAGACAGACAGACAGACGGACAGAAGGACGGACATGGCTTAAGTGACTCTGAAATTGATTCTGAGCCGATTGGTATATATTATAGTAGGACCAATATTTTTGGGTGTTCCAAACATCAGCACAAACGCATAATACCCTCACTACAATAGTGGTGTAGGGTATAACAATACTTATAGCTAAGTATTGTTTGTGTTTCTTTGTAGATCGAACTACTTTGTGAAAGGTTTTGAACTAAAAATATTTTTGAAAGTTCTTATTTTAAAGTTCATGCTTTGCACATTTACTATTTAGTAAAATATTTAGTAAAAGTTCATAACTTTTAGTATAATTGATTACAGCTTTTGCTTATTAATGATCTTAAGAATAATATAATTTCGAAAGGATTTTAGGTGATAAATATACATTTTATTTAAATAAAGAAAACATTAAAACATTTTCTTTACTACACACATACATAGATATTAATATTTTAAACTATTTTTTTTTTTTTTTTTTGGCAAACAACAAACATTACAAAAATAAATTCAATTTAACACTCTTTGCGCATAAATATTTACAATCATATTTATCTTTAATATTTTTCGGGATGATATTGACCGTCTTCATCGTCATGGCCAGAGCTGGCAGCAAGAGCCAAACGATCAGCTTCCTGTTGAGCACCAATGGCAGCATGTTCGGCAGCAATGCGATCGAACAAACTCAAATGTTTGTTAGTGGCTCTAACGACAGCTTCACTTTGGTTGGGACCAGTTAGAGGGGCCTGTAAAAGAGAGAAATGAAGTAAACTAGTAAAAAAAAGAGAATTTCAAATTTAAGCTTTTTTTCAAAAAAGCTTTTATGTTTTGCCATGTAAATAAAAAAAAATAAAGCTTAAAATTTGCATTCAATTTACCGTTGGATGATGCACACCAGCAGCGTGTTCTTGCGCAATGCGATTGTATAAATTGAAGTGTTTTTGTTTGGCTGCCTTAACGGCGGCACTGTCTTCGAGTTCATGGCTTAATTGTGGGTGGAAGCCATGCTCATCAGCCACATACTGAACAGTGCGTACTTGATTTTTGGGATCAACATATGAGAAGGCACCACGTATAACACCTGAACCATCGGATACTTCGGTATGTTGACGATCTACATGTCCGGGAGCACGACCAGCCTGATAACTGAATACATAGGGATTAGCTGGTCCCGATTTGGGTGTTGTGCTCTCATGATGACCCACTATATGCGAAACATCCGCTAAAGCTAAAGCCAAGCTTACTGATAGGAAAATCTTTAAATATAACAACAATAAAATTGAATATTTTATTTAAAACAATTATTTTTATTTATTTTATAAAACTTGTTGCGGATTTGTATAATTTTTTATTTAGCACCGAACTTACAATTGTTTTCATGTTGTTAGTTGTGTTTACACTTTGATTGTTTTAGAAAAACTAATGTATTTTTTTAAAGGTTTGCTAAAGTATTTGCTGGAAGAAAAAAAAAACAGAATACGTGAAGCTTAAATACAAATTTGATGTCTTTCAAAATACTTGTTAAACAAGTATTTGTCTGTCGTTTTGTGTTTTAAATTTGTTTTTTTATTATTTTTTTTATTATTGAATTACATTTTTGCAGCTTATCAGTCAGTGTTAAAGACTCATACGTCACGAGTAAAGATCTTGGGGTTTTTGAACAAGCGTTTAAAATTTTAACAAATTTTTAAGCTTTAAAAAATCGTGAGCTTTTTATTTGAAATTTGATATAAAACAAGTTTCAGAAATGAATAACTTACACGTTTGGGAGAGTACAGTTGTGGTTGCTAAAGTAGCATAATGGTTGTAATAGTAACGGTTTAGTTTGAAAGTGGCAAAAATATGTATTCAAACTCAAACATTAACTATGCGAACCGTAAGCTCAATATAAAGCTACACTACATATTGACATACCAGAGACAGACTTTGTAGGGAACCTTGAGGCACTGATAGTAGATGAAAATCAAAAAATTCCGTTGTTGAATGGATGGTAAAAACGGGACTAGGGATCTACATTATATATAGGGATCTATATAATATACTACACTAACTTCCAGGCAGATGTTCTTCCAATATCGGAATTCGAATAACTAGGTAGGAATAAATATGACCCCAATAGAGGTTTAAATTTTTACCGGTAGTCAGCAAGAAATTAGGGTGATTGTAAAAAAGCAAACATTGCATCATATGAGTAGAAGGATAGTCGAGCTTAATCGGCAACGCATATTTACCGACAGTAGGGCGATATCCGATGACAAGGGTGTGTTACACTGTCAGAGTCTTACCACCTCGGGGTCATGCTACCTTGATGAAAGGCCCCATCTTGGTTGATTACAATCCCGGGGAAAAGAGGTGCTACCAATACCTCTAAAAGAACGACATAATCTGGTACTACGGGTGGCAAGGTGCCCGAACGTATCTTATTGAATTTCACTTCATTGTCCAGGTATGTTTAGGGAGAACTCTGTTCATACTAGATTCACCACAGAGTGTTGCCTGTGAGTAAGAACAAAGTCCTCGGCTTATTTGATGGATTCGTATTTCAGACCGAATACGTCTCAATGTGCTGTTGCCGACTCAGCAGAGACCATTCCATATGCGTGGATGTAAACGGAAGTGATGTTTTACATCTCAGAAGTTAAGAAACGGGCAACAATGGTCAGAGATTGGGGCGATGTAGAGTCGTCAGTCAGTCAGTTAGGTAGTTAGTTAGTTAGTTAGTTAGTTAGTTAGTTAGTTTAGTTTAGTTAGTTAGTTAGTTAGTTAGTAGTTATTAGTTAGTTAGTTAGTTAGTTAGTTCGTTAGTTCGTTAGTTACGTTCGTTCGTTCGTTAGTTCGTTCAGTTCGTTCGTTCGTTAGTTAGTTCGTTCAGTTCGTTTCGTTCGTTCGTTCTTTCGTTCGTTCGTTCTTCGTTCGTTCGTTCAGTTTCGTTCGTTCGTCAGTTCGTTCGTTCGTTTCGTTAGTTCGTTAGTTCGTTAGTTCGTTCGTTCGTCGTTAGTTCGTTCGTTCGTTTCGTTCGTTCGTTCGTTCGTTCGTTCGTTCGTTCGTTCGTTCGTTCGTTCGTTCGTTCGTTCGTTTCGTTCGTTCGTTCGCGTTCGTTCGTTCGTTCGTTCGTTCGTTTCGTTCGTTCGTTTCTTCGTTCGTTCGTTCGTTCGTTCGTTCGTTCGTTCGTTCGTTCGTTCGTTCGTTCGTTCTTTCGTTCGTTCGTTCGTTCGTTCGTTCGTTCGTTCGTTCGTTCGTTCGTTCGTTCGTTCGTTCGTTCGTTCGTTCGTTCGTTTCGTTCGTTCGTTCGTTTTCGTTCGTTCGTTCGTTCGTTCGTTTTCGTTTCGTTCGTTCGTTCGTTTCGTTCGTTCGTTCGTTCGTTCGTTCGTTCGTTCGTTCGTTTCGTTCGTTCGTTCGTTCGTTCGTTCGTTCGTTCGTTCGTTCGTTCGTTCGTTCGTTCTCGTCGTTCGTTCGTTCGTTCGTTCGTTCGTTGTTCGTTTCGTTCGTTCGTTCGTTCGTTCGTTCGTTCGTTTCGTTCGTTCGTTGTTCGTTCGTTCGTTCGTTCGTTCGTTCGTTCGTTCGTTCGTTCGTTCGTTCGTTCGTTCGTTCGTTCGTTCGTTCGTTCGTTCTTTCGTTCGTTCGTTCTTCGTTCGTTCGTTCGTTCGTTCGTTCGTTCGTTCGTTCGTTCGTTCGTTCGTTCGTTCGTTCGTTCGTTCGTTCGTTCTTCGTTCGTTCGTTCGTTCGTTCGTTTCGTTCGTTCGTTCGTTCGTTCGTTCGTTCGTTCGTTCTTGTTTCGTTCGTTCGTTCGTTCGTTCGTTCGTTCGTTTTTCGTTCGTTCGTTCGTTTCGTTCGTTCGTTCGTTCGTTCTTTCGTTCGTTCGTTCGTTCGTTCGTTCGTTCGTTCGTTCGTTCGTTCGTTCGTTCGTTCGTTCGTTCGTTCGTTCGTTTTTCGTTCGTTCGTTCGTTCGTTCGTTCGTTCGTTTCGTTCGTTCGTTCGTTCGTTCGTTCGTTCGTTCGTTTCGTTCGTTCGTTCGTTTCGTTGGTTGGTTGGTTGGTTGGTTGTTCGTGTTACTTCGGTACCTCCCCCACATTGCAGACTGCTATTTCTATAACCACGTCTGTTTTATTAATTAGGCAGATTTGATAAACAAATTTAAATTAAACGCTTAGAAACGTCTTTTGTGAATCATCGTTATTTTCAGACCGTAGAGTGTAAACAAATACAAACAATAACAATTAAGAAATAGTTAAAGGATGTCGCCGACTCAACGACACCCTACAACTAAAGCCTTACTTTTCGAAATGGTTTCAGCTAAATGTAATATTGCAAATGATTTCAGTCAACGATATCAGAAAAGTTCTATCGAAATCAGTGGGTACCATTCTTGACCAAGGTGTTATCAGAATGGTAAAAATTGGTCCAAATTAAAATAGTCAGTTTAATACCACTAAGCCAAATGCGAACGCCATAAAGAAAAAACTTAATTAGTCAATCGAAACATTTTAGGAGATGTTTATAGGACCATTAATGTTGAGTGTTACAAATACTTAAAACAAACATATAATACCTTCCCGACTATAGTAGCGTAGTGTATAAATATTATGATTTAAATATTACATTGTCATTGCTAAGGTTTATGTCTAAGCTAATCCTTATCATCGCTGCAGATCAATTGTAGAATTTGAACTTCTGCCAGTAAATATACGAAACCGAAATCAATTTACTTACGTTCAAATTTCGTTACCTAGCTATTTACTTAATAATTTTATTTATTTAATTCTTTATATAAGTAAGTAAATAAAAAAAGGTTATCAATCATGCCAGCAGCCAGGCAAGGCTCATTTAATGTTGTGTGTTGAGAGGTTTTTTTTTTGTATTTACTTTTTTTGAATACATTAATCATTATTAAATTCTAAAAAATAATAAAAGAACAAAAAAAAAAAAAAAGTAATAACATCGTTTTCTAAGTCCAATACCTGTTCAAGTTTAATAAGCTTCATACAATTAAGCTGGAAATCAGTTCATCGTCATCTTTCGAAAGGGACAAAATTGTATTTGATTGTTAAGTTTTCAATTTTAATTCATAAATCGTTTACAAAATATTTAATAAATAAATAAATATGAAAATTTGTATAATTTTATTAATCTGTTTAACGCTGTTAACAACAACTTGTTATGCCGGTAATTAAAATTTCAAGAATTTTTGTTGTTTTTTTTAATATATTATTGCAATTAAAAAGTTTATTTATGTGCAAATTTGTTTTTGTTTATTTGATAATTTCTTTTGTAGATTGTGAAGTTTTTGGTTTGTTAATGAAGAAAGGTGAAGCAAAAACTGTGCCTGGAAAATGTAGTCAAGTTGTGTGTCAGGGCAATCGTTATGATGAATATACTATAGAGGGGTAAATATTTGTTAAAAAATTAAAACAATTTAAAAATATGTTTAAAATTTATTTGTGTAAATTATTACTTTTAGTTGTCCAAATGCTTATGGTGCTAAAGATTGTAATTTTGTGCCAGTGGATTTAACGAAACCATATCCAAAGTGCTGTCCACATTGGAAGTGTCCCGAAAAGAATTGATTGTTTGTGTTGTTGTTATTAGTTTGTGTTATTGTTATTAAGTATTTTGCATGTTATTGAAAAAAAAAGTGTTAATAAATTTATAAAATAAAAATTAAAAATGTGTGAAAATACGTAAAAACTAAATGACCCCAAAGGAATGTTAGTGAAAGACGTAATTTTACTCAGATATCAGAAAAACTACTGCATACATTGTGTTCACATCAATTCAGCTAGAATGATATCGGTATCAGCAGCGTATCTCGGATACTGAACTCTTAAAGAAGAGAAACTTAACATACCTTCGAGAAAAAAGGAGTTTTTCTCAGGTTCTTGTGTCTACAAAAGAGAGAAAACGCTGCTGGCCAACAACAGTCCACCCGATATAAGCGATCTTTATGATACCGTCATAGAAGTCGAGAAAATTTTCTGGTTTATAGTCGAAACTATTGTTTGGTGTATAGACGAGAATATAGTCTATTCTTCGAGATAGTAATCTGATCTGTAGTTCTATAAACGAGACTGTAGTCTGGTCATTAGTCGAGAGTCTACAAAGGAGAGAAAACGCTGCTGGCCAACAACAGTCCACCCGATATAAGCGATCTTTATGATACTGTCATAGAAGTCGAGAAAATTTTCTGGTTTATAGTCGAAACTATTGTTTGGTGTATAAACGAGACTATAGTCTACTCTTCGAGATAGTAATCTGATCTGTAGTTAAGATTATAGACCGCTCTATAAACGAGACTGTAGTCTGGTCATTAGTCAAGAGTCTAGTCTGTAGTCAAGACGGTTTATGGTCGAAAATATTGTTTAGTGTATAGACGAGACTATAGTCAGCTCTTCGAGATTGTAATCTAATCTTTAGTTGCGATTATATGCTCTATAATCGAGATACCATAATCTGATCATTTATCGAGAGTCTAGTCTTTAGTCGAGACAAATTTTCGGAAGCCAGCTCTATTGTCGATATTGTAATCTGATCTGGAGTTGAGACTATAGCCTGCTTTTTAGTGGACACAATATCCAGGTCTTTAGTCTATTATTTTGTTAAGAGTCTAGTCTATTATCGTGAACATTTTCTGTTTTATTGTGAAAACTATTATCTTGTATATAAACAAGTCTATAGTCTGTTCTATTGTCGAGATTGTAATCTAGTCTGTAGTTGAGTCCATATTCTGGTCTTTAATCTATTCTATCGTCGAGCATCTAGGCTGTAGTCGAGACTATAGCTATATTTATTGTCTAGTCTATAGTTTGCTCTATTGTCTATTCTATAGAACAGAGTATGGTTTATAGTCGAGAATATAGTCTAGCTTATAGTCAAGACTTTTGTATGCTATATTGTTGAAATTATAGTCTGGTCTATAGTTGTGACTAGTTAAGATTATAATCTGGTCTATAGTTCATACCATAGTCTGCTCTATAATCGAGACTGTATTATGATCTTTAGTCGAGAGCCTGGTCTGTAGTCGAGAGTTGTAGTAGTTCAGACTATAGACTGATCTATAGTTGAGGCATTATCCGGATCTTTAAACTATTCCTTTGTCAAGATTCTAGTCTGTAGTCGTGATAAGTTTCTGATTTATAGGTAAAACTATTGGCTGGTTTATAGACGAGTCTATAGTCTGCTTTATTATCGAGATTGTAATCTGGTCAGTAGTTGAGGCTATATTCTGGTCTTTAGTCTATTCTATCGTCGAGCGTTTAAGCTGTAGTCGAGACTCTAGTCGGATTTATTGTCTAGATTACAGTTTGCTCTAACTATTGTTTATTCTATAGAACTGACCATACTGTCTGTAGTCGATAATATATTCTAGTTTATAGTCAAGACTTTAGTATGCTCTATTGTTGAAATTATAGTATGGTCTATAGTTGAGACTGTTATCTGTTTTATAGTCAAGACAGTAGGGAAGTCTATAGTCTAGATTATAGTCTGTATGTTCTAAAGTAGAGACTAATGTCTGGTCTGGAGTCGTTAATATATCCCACTTTATGGCTATGAGTATAATTTGGTCTATAGTCTGCTCTGTTGTTAAGAGTTGGGTTTGTCTTCGAGACTATATTCTGTCTCGATTATAGTCTGGTCTATAGTTAAGACTATAAGAGTCTGACCTACAGGCGAGATACTCTAAAAGATGAAGCAATACTAGGACTTACTAAGAAATGACATAAATGACTTGGAGCAGATAAATTGAAGTTTTGAAGAATTTAAAAATGCATCAGCGTAATTTAAGATCTAAACAGATTCCCGGATTAACATCAAATTTATAATGGAATTTGTTTCGCTTATAAAGTAAATTATTTTCATTCAAAACTTTCCAGCTGATTCTATTTCAATATCTGCATTAAGGTTTCTAAAGAAAATTTATATTTAAATTTAATGTTTAACCATAGAACTAAAATATCGAAAAGTAAAAAGTGTTGTTTTAGTTACTAATAAATACATTCATTATGTTTGCTAAATATTAAAAAACATATTTATAATTTTCATAGAATTGGTATAGAAAAAGAAAATTCTCAGTTTAAATACGATATTGCGGTTAAAATTTTATTTATTTTCATAGTTTACGAAGGCGATCTTATAATGGTCTTATAAAGCTAATCGTATTATTTTCTTTCATACTTTTGTGAAATTTTTTATTTATACTAACACTTATGTATTTATAATATAAATTAAAAAATATTACAATCCATATAAATTTTATATGGATTGTAATATTTTTTAATTATTTTGTTTATATGAAGTAAGTTCGTGGAATTTTCATTTAACAAAAATTCGGAGCGTATCTAAAAACTGTGTCATTTAAATTTATTTAAATAAATTCCCTAAAATAGATATTTCATTAAATAATGCAATAACTGTAAATGTAAAGTTGATTTATAATGACTGTTTGTCATTCCATAGTTTCCAGGAAAAATTTCAATATATTTAGGTGACTTTTTTTATCAAGAGCATCTGGCAACTTCGAAAATAATTAGAGTGATGTCAATATAAGCAATAAAACGGCGTTTAAATTATAAAAAATACAAAATCTTCTAAAAACGTATAACTAACTAACTAACTAACTAACTACTAACTAACTAACTAACTAACTAACTAACTAACTAACTAACTAACTAACTAACTAACTAACTAACTAACTAACTAACTACCTACCTACCTAACTAACTAACTAACTAACTAACTAACTAACTAACTAACTAACTAACTAACTAACTAACTAACTAACTAACTAACTAACTAACTAACTAACTAACTAACTAACTAACTAACTAACTAACTAACTAACTAACTAACTAACTAACTAACTAACTAACTAACTAACTAACTAACTAACTAACTAACTAACTAACTAACTAACTAACTAACTAACTAACTAACTACTAACTAACTAACTAACTAACTAACTAACTAACTAACTAACTAACTAACTAACTAACTAACTAACTACTAACTAACTAACTAACTAACTAACTAACTAACTAACTAACTAACTAACTAACTAACTAACTAACTAACTAACTAACTAACTAACTAACTAACTAACTAACTACTAACTAACTAACTAACTAACTAACTAACTACTAACTAACTAACTAACTAACTAACTAACTAACTAACTAACTAACTAACTAACTAACTAACTAACTAACTAACTAACTAACTAACTAACTAACTAACTAACTAACTAACTAACTAACTAACTAACTAACTAACTAACTAACTAACTAACTAACTAACTAACTACTAACTAACTAACTAACTAACTAACTAACTAACTAACTAACTAACTAACTAACTAACTAACTAACTACTAACTAACTAACTAACTAACTAACTAACTAACTAACTAACTAACTAACTAACTACTAACTAACTAACTAACTACTAACTAACTAACTAACTAACTAACTAACTAACTAACTAACTAACTACTAACTAACTAACTAACTAACTAACTAACTAACTAACTAACTAACTAACTAACTAATACTAACTAACTAACTAACTAACTACTACTAACTACTAACTAACTAACTAACTAACTAACTAACTAACTAACTAACTAACTACTAACTAACTAACTAACTACTAACTAACTAACTAACTAACTAACTAACTAACTAACTAACTAACTACTAACTAACTAACTAACTAACTAACTAACTAACTAACTAACTAACTACTAACTAACTAACTAACTAACTAACTAACTAACTAACTAACTAACTAACTAACTAACTAACTAACTAACTAACTAACTAACTAACTAACTAACTAACTAACTAACTAACTAACTAACTAACTAACTAACTAACTAACTAACTAACTAACTAACTAACTAACTAACTACTAACTAACTAACTAACTAACTAACTAACTAACTAACTAACTAACTAACTAACTAACTAACTAACTAACTAACTAACTAACTAACTACTAACTAACTAACTAACTAACTAACTAACTAACTAACTAACTAACTACTAACTAACTAACTAACTAACTAACTAACTAACTAACTAACTAACTAACTAACTAACTAACTAACTAACTAACTACTACTAACTAACTACTAACTAACTAACTAACTAACTAACTAACTACTAACTAACTAACTAACTAACTAACTAACTACCTAACTAACTAACTAACTACTAACTACTAACTAACTAACTAACTAACTAACTAACTAACTAACTAACCATCTAACTAACTAACTACAAAGATCAGCATAACGTGGTTTTATATACGTCTAAATTATACAACCCGATTTTCGTAATGATCGGTCCATATTTGACCCTAGCCCCCATACGAAGACCTCTTCGGAAAATCACTTGAAGGTTAAAATTCACTTATAAACACTATTATCTCGATAAAATTCTTCATAAATAACTGTAATGTTATGTAAATCCCTCTATCAAAAATGCATAAGGATAGGCCCATTGCCCCCTCTTTTGAAAAATCTCTTTTTTGTCAATAAATTGTTAGAATATATCGGAGTTAAGGTAAAAAACTAAAATGCTTTTTTTATTAAAAAATAATCCACATTTTTAACATACGCACTGGTGTAGGTATCATATGGTCGGCTTTTGATAATACGTCGATCTCTATTTTGAGATAAAATATTAAAATCGCTATTTTCAGATGTAGACATAAAAAAACGCTTCATTGACAACACATATTTATACCTAATGTACATATAAAAGCATTTTATGCAGATACTCACAGTTGAGTTTCTAAACTCTTACAGTGAATAATAAAATATTTTATAATATTATAAAAAAAATAACAAAACAATAAAAACAAAATATATAAACTTATATTTATAACGAATTGTTACAATAATTTGGTAAGTTAGAAATTGTTTAAAACCCATACAAAGTGTAACTAATTAGAAATTTTAATTTAAAATAATTTTAAATTCTTATTCCCGAACAAAAACAAATTTCACAAATGTTTTTACCATATGATATCATAGTTGTTAGATATTTTTTGTGCTGTTGTAGATATGAGAGAGAATACCGTACCTCATTGTTATTATTTTGAAGAGTATCGAAAACACAACAGAAATATATTTACCGGTGAGGAACTTGTGGTACATTTAAGTTTGGGAACTTTTTTCGATATATAAAACATGAAATATGTAGTAACTTACTTTAGATATTGAAATTGTGATTTAATCTTCCGAAGACCTAAGGGTTCTAAGTCTTAGAGTAATCTCCCATTGTAGTTGCATATGTGCTAACGAAAAGGTATTCTGAAATTTGAATAACGAGAAAAGTAAAATTTCATACTTTTATGAAATTATTTAATACTTTATTTTTTACGTGATAGGTATTTGTTAAGAATAATCTTAAGGTCAATACAAATGTATGTCGATCCCCCGGAATACAGATTAAATTATCCAACCGATCGGTTGAGATTGGAAGTATATCCTTAAATGTTTCCAAAGCTTTGATTCACATAGTTCTCTAGTTTCCATAGTTTTAAAGAAACTATTTGATAAAATTTTAGAAATAATTAATTTTAAAAGTCAAATAAAGTACCAAAAACAACTACCATGTAATAATAGGTACAAGTCAAGAGCGTCAAAAAAGTACCAACACATGTACAGTTGTACATACAACAAATATCGTCGTTGATACCTATTAACTGAGAGAATTCTGGCTACTGTTGCCAGATTATTGCAATATATGATGATTCAGTTCAAAAAGGGGAATTTTGTATTTCTTAATCTTTTTACTAATTGATTGGTAAATTAGGGACTCTTGAGATATGGATTATTATTTTAAAAAATAACCACGTAACATGACTTAGTCATAGGCCATTTTTGCACTCAGTACTATTTATTTAATTATAGATTTTTTTAATGAAATTATTAATATGCAAATCATTTTCAGCGATAATCATTAATAGACCCAATAAACGTTGAGACTTTAAGATGAAAAAATCATTGGGGATTTTTGATTTGGGGATCGGAAGATATTGCTTTTAAAAGATGGGTCGCTTGACCAATGTATGTATGTAGTTATTAGGGTTCTATAAATCGACTTTCGAATAATCGAACTTTTTGTATTAAAAAGTCGACTTTGTTATTAAAAGTCGAAACAAGTCGATAAGTCGAAAAAAGTCGATAAGTCGAAAAAAGTCGAATAAAGTCGAAAAGTCGTAAAAAGTCGAAAAAAGTCGAAAAAAGTCGAAAAAAGTCGGAAAAAGTCGAAAAAAGTCGGAAAAAATCGGAAAGTCGAAAACTCGAAAATTGTAGAAACAAGTCAAAAATAGTCGAAAATCTTAAAAAAAAGTGGAAAAAAGTCAAAAACTCTACAATAGTCAGAAAAACTCGAAAAAAGTCAAAAAATAGTAGAAAAAAAGTCGAAAATAGTCAAAAAGTCGGAAAAAGTCGAAAAGTCGAAAAAAAGTCGGAAAAAGTCGAATAGTCGACTATTTATAAAATACTTATAGTCGAAAAGTCTAAAAGTCGACTTTTAATTAAATGAAAAAAAAATGAAAAATTGACTTTTCATAAAATGCAAAAAGTCGAGAAGTCGAAAAGTCGACTTTTAACTAAATGAAAAAAGTCGACTTTTCGTTTCAACTATAGAACCCTAGTAGTTATATGTAAATATAATCTTCTGAACGAACATGAAAGCTGTAGAACATTTCTTCAACGTTTTATTGTTCGATATGTGAATAAAGTTTGTCCAGTTTTATATAGTCGTCACATTGGGTGTCTATGACCAATATTTCGTTGTCTTACAAATGGAATGACTAAATCAATATACTCGCCTTTTATATTCTTTTTTTTTACATTTCTTTTATAATATGTTTACAAAGCTTTTGAAAAGTTTACAGATCACTGAAGATATATATTCTTTATATACATATAAAAATGAATGTGTGTCTGTTTGGACTTTAATGGGCGGTCTAGCAATAGGGGGCGTGGAAGCTTCCATATAAATTAAATACAAATATCTGAGAAACTATTATAGCTAGAATCTTCCAAATTGTGCACGAAGCACTTTAACATCCATGTGAACATTAGGAGGAAATAGGTCAACTTTCATCAGGGCTGCTTTGAACCACTCACATGAATACAAAAATGCCTATATCTGAGAAACTATTAGAGCTATAATCTATTGCACGAACAAAACTGACATTCATGTCAGCATTTGAGCACTAAATTGGCGGACCACCATTAGGTGGCGTAGTTACACTCATATGAATTAAATACAAAAATGTGCATATCTGGGAAACTATTAGAGCTAAAATCTTCAAAAATCGTAAAGTGTGTTTTTATATTTTCCTTTAGGGTAGCAATGCACACTGGGTATAGCTAGCTGATGAAATGTATATAAATAATAATCAAGAATTTTTATAAACATTTGCCCACTGCAAAAATATGGAGAATTCCCTAACAAAGTTATTGCTGGTTGACTTTCAGATTAGAAATATGTGTATTTCTTAAACATTATTATAGAAAGGAGGCAACGAATACAGTCGTGGAAACGGCGTCTAAACGAAATATAAACTTAAAACCGTCCGATAAAAAGAGAAAAATAACGAAATAAAAAAACTGTTAAGACAGTTTTGCTTCATTTAATCTCTAATTTCAGACTTAATATATCTGATTCGTGTCTAATTTTGAGTGTCCGACAGTGTTATGAATTAAAAAAAAAAATTTTAATTTACAACAAGTTTTTATAAGAATTTATATACAAAACTGCTAAAAAGTGATTAAAGAGTAATGTAAGTAGTATAACCTTGCAGTAATATCAATTTAAATACTATATTTAGGTTCTTATTTAAAAATATTTGTCAATGGCTTACAAATCACACAAAATTTGTTATATAAACCTTTGATAAATGTTTATAAATAACCTCCTTAAAGTGGGGACGGACGGACATGGCTTATTCGACTCAGAAATCGACCAACGTACACCCGACTATAGACTTGGCTCTCGAATAGAGTAGATTAGAGTAGATATTAGACTATAGACTAGACTAGACTTGACTAGACTATAGACTAGACTATAGACTATACTATACACTAGACTATAGACTATACTATTGACTAGACTATAGACTAGACTATAGACTAGACTATAGACTAGACTATAGACTAGACTATAGACTAGACTGTAGACTAGACTATAGACTAGACTATAGACTAGAATATAGACTAGACTATAGACTAGACTATAGACTAGACTATAGACTAGACTATAGACTAGACTATAGACTAGACTATAGACTAGACTATAGACTAGACTATAGACTAGACTATAGACTAGACTATAGACTAGACTATAGACTAGACTATAGACTAGACTATAAACTAGATTATAGACTAGACTATAGACTAGACTATAGACTAGACTATAGACTAGACTATAGACTAGACTGTAGACTAGACTATAGACTAGACTATAGACTAGAATATAGACTAGACTATACTACAGACTAGACTAAACTATAGACTTGACTATAGACTAACTAGACTATAGACTAGACTAAAGAATAGACTATAGACTAGACTATAGGCTATAGACTAGACTATAGACTAGACTATAGGCTATAGACTAGACTATAGACTAGACTAGGCTATAGCACTAGACCAGGCTATAGATTAGACTATAGACTACTATAGACTAGACTATAAACTAACTATAGACAAGACTATAGACTAACTATAGACCTAGACTATAGACTAGACTATGACTAGACTATAGACTAGACTATAGACTAGACTATAGACTAGACTATAGACTAGACTATAGACTAGACTATAGACTAGACATGACTAGACTAGACTAGACCTAGACTAATAGACTAGACTAGGACTAGACTATAGACTAGACTATAGACTAGACTATAGACTAGACTATAGACTAGACTAGATAGACTAGACTATAGACTAGACTATAGACTAGACTATAGACTAGACTATAGACTAGACTATAGACTAGACTATAGACTAGACTATAGACTAGACTATAGACTAGACTATAGACTAGACTATAGACTAGACTATAGACTAGACTATAGACTAGACTATAGACTAGACTATAGACTAGACTATAGACTAGACTATAGACTAGACTATAGACTAGACTATAGACTAGACTATAGACTAGACTATAGACTAGACTATAGACTAGACTATAGACTAGACTATAGACTAGACTATAGACTAGACTATAGACTAGACTATAGACTAGACTATAGACTAGACTATATACTAGACTATAGACTAGACATAGACTAGACTATAGACTAGACTATAGACTAGACTATAGACTAGACTATAGACTAGACTATAGACTAGACTATAGACTAGACTATAGACTAGACTATAGACTAGACTATAGACTAGACTATAGACTAGACTATAGACTAGACTGTAGACTATAGATTAGACTATAGACTAGACTATAGACTAGACTATAGACTAGACTATATACTAGACTGTAGACTATAGATTAGACTATAGACTAGACTATAGACTAGACTATAGACTAGACTATAGACTAGACTATAGACTAGACTATAGACTAGACTATAGACTAGACTATAGACTAGACTATAGACAAGACTGTAGACTAGACTATAAACTAGACTATAGACTAGACTATAGACTAGACTATAGACTAGACTATAGACTAGACTATAGACTAGACTATAGACTAGACTATAGACTAGACTATAGACTAGACTATAGACTAGACTATAGACTAGACTACAGACTAGACTATAGACTATACTATAGACTAGACTATAGACTATACTATAGACTAGACTATATTTGATTGAATCAAGTATTTTGTACTTATTTTAGCGAAAACATACTCACCGTATTTCAAAACTTCTCCTTATTAATTTGAGCACGAATTACTCAATAAACTCTTTTCTCCTTGCTTTCATAATAATACATGTATATAATTATAACTTTAAAATAAAACAATAAAATACTGTATAAAAAAAATAATTCGTCAATTTAAAACTTTGCCACATGACCGGCAAAATAAACGGCAGTTTTGCTGCGTATGGCAAAGACAAACGGATGATCAGCACGGAAAGTTTTCTGCTCTAAATTCAAACTCATGGGTACAATTTTTAAATCTAAAGAAACCAAGAAAACAATTGTTTTATTAGATATATGATTAAAATCCTAAAAGCTATAAACTTACAGGTAGCAGCTGCCGCCTCAGAACCAGCTTCATTGACATCTAAAAATGCTTTATGCTTAACATCCGATATCTTGTGAGGCACGGAAGTATCAAATAGACCACTGAAATTTGCACTCGATGAAAAGATGGAGGACATGCCCATCTGAAGGAAATAAAATACTTGATTGATATGAATCTTTATAAAAACCGTAAAATTTCTTACCTTCTTTAAGGGTTCCTTTAAATCAATATCAAATTCTATGCGAAATTTAGGTAAGAATACATCTACACTTTCCACCAACATTTTCGAGGTAATATCATTCAAGTCTAGTCCCTTTAAATTGCTTTCCAATTTTTCCAAACCATCAATTTGTTTTGGTAAAATAATTAACATGGAAAGATCAGAATTTTCATAAGGCATTTCCAAAGCAGTGGCTTCCAATTCAGGCAATTCAACATAACCAAAACGATCATCTGTATACATGGTGTCAACTTCCAGTTTTTGCTTAGAGTTCAAATGAAAATCTGCTTTACTAGTGGTGATCTCACTAAAGGGATGTAACCATTTACCCTTAAAATATATGGCATTTACCAATACAGCACTGGTGTCATCATTTAACGCATCGGGTGTTAGAAGATCTTTTATCTTATTTTCGGTTTGTTGAGCCACCCAATTATTAATTTGTTCCACCACCGCTTCTCTTTGACTGAAATCTACATTTTCTGCTTGCGACTGAAAATAGTCTTGGGCGATTTTATTGAACTGGGGCAAAAGTTTGATTTCATTATTCACATACACACGATTGGCCATTTTCAGTTGTGGGCCCTTTTCATTGGATTGTCTTGGTTTAAAGGCAGCTTTTAAAAATTCTCCATATTTTTCTGCCACTTGTGTTTTATTACCTAGACCGAGTTTTAAGACCTTACGCATTTCCTCGGCCGTTTCTCCCTCGGCACCGGTAAAGGCTAATGCCAAACATGTTTGTATAGAAGCTGGTGAATAGACTATATTTTCGTTGATTTTATTGTCCACAATAACCGAAAATAAATCGGCAGCAAATAAATTACGACTTGCCGATTCTGAGGGGGCAATTGTTCCAGCCATTATGTAACTGTATTGTAGGGAAAGTAATATTGATCCTATAAGTAGGGCTGAAATGAAAGGAAATTCATCAAGAAATTAGTTTTTTAATATTCTAGAGTTTCCTTTTTTTTGATATGCAATAACAACAAATGGGATTCTACTAGGTAGTTGGGAAACTATTAGGTAAATACTGGGTAAATACCTTTTTTAATATGATATTTGTAAAGGACCCTATTCCTAAGACGGACAGACAAACATAGCTAGGTTCATCCGTCCGCCTATCTGTTAAGTCAAAAAATATTGTTTATAGAGTGTGAATCGGTCTATATTAAATTATTAGATTTATATGAATTATATTAGTGAGTCATTAGGCATTGACGTTTGTATAATCATAAAACGACAATTTCATGTCAATAACCACCATCATAACATTCTTCCCCCTATTTTTTAAACAACAAAAAAAATTAAAAAAATATCGACACTTCACACATATTTTAAACATATCAATAATATTTTATCAGTGTCCATAATATGGTTCATTGTCGATTAACAAATCAAAAACAAAAATAACAAAACAATAGTGGGACCTTGCTGTCTATTAAATAATGTCCGAAAAAAAACATTAAAATATTTTAAGTAGATTTTTTGCTTAAAAGTTAATAACAAATTTGGTGAGCTAACTAAATTATTGTTTATGTACTTATTTTAAAGGAAAAGTTTGTAAGAGAGAGAGAGAGAGAGAGAGCGAGAGAGAACTAGTCCCGTAACTGGTTCTTTGGCGTTTAAAAATAATCATAATATTGATAAGATATCTTTAATGAATTCGTTACGATATCGGTTTTCGTAAAAATATATATAGACTGGACTATGGAGAAGAATATAGACTAGACTATAGACTAGACTATAGACTAGACTATAGACTAGAATATAGACTAGACTATAGACTAGACTATAGACTAGACTATAGACTAGACTATAGACTAGACTATAGACTAGACTATAGACTAGACTATAGACTAGACTATAGACTAGACTATAGACTAGACTATAGACTAGTCTATAGACTAGACTATAGACTAGACTATAGACTAGACTATAGACTAGACTATAGACTAGACTATAGACTAGACTATAGATTAGACTATAGACTAGACTATAGACTAGACTATAGACTAGACTATAGACTAGACTATAGACTAGACTATAGACTAGACTATAGACTAGACTATAGACTAGACTGTAGCTAGACTAAGACTAGACTCTACACTAGACTATAGATTAGATTATAGACTAGACTATAGACTGGACTATATACTGGACTATAGACTGGACTATAGACTAGACTATATAACTGATTCTTTAGCGTTTAAAAACAATCATAATATTGATATGACATCTTTAATGAATTCGTTACGATATCGGTATTGGTAAAAATATATATAGACTAGACTGTATACTAGACTGTGACTAGACTATAGACTAGACTATAGACTAGACTATAGACTAGACTATAGACGAACTATAGACTATACTATAGACTAGACTTAGACGAGACTAGACTATAGACTATACTATAGACTATACTATAGACTAGACTATAGACTAGACTATAGACTAGACTATAGACAAGACTATAGACTAGACTATAGACTAGACTATAGACTACGACTATAGACTAGACTAGACTATACCTTAATAGACTAGACTATAGACTAGACTATAGACTAGACTATAGACTAGACTATAGACTAGACTATAGACTAGACTAGAGACCTAGACTATAGACTAGACTATAGACTAGACTATAGACTAGACTATAGACTAGCTATAGACTAGACTATAGACTAGACTATAGACTAGACTATAGACTAGACTATAGACTAGACTATAGACTAGACTATAGACTAGACTACTAGCACTAGACTAATAGACTAGACTATAGACTAGACTATAGACTAGACTTATAGACTAGACTATAGACTAGACTATAGACTAGACTAGAGACTAGACTATAGACTAGACTATAGACTAGACTATAGACTAACTATAGACTAGACTATAGACTAGACTATAGACTAGACTATAGACTAGACTATAGACTAGACTATGAGACTATAGACTATAGACTAGACTATAGACTAGACTATGACTAGACTATAGACTAGACGATAGACTAGACTATAGACTAGACTATAGACTAGACCTATAGACTAGACTATAGACTAGACTATAGACTAGACTATAGGGACTAGACTATAGACTAGACTATAGACTAGACTATAGACTAGACTATAGACTAGACTATAGACTAGACTATAGACTAGACTATAGACTAGACTATAGACTAGACTATAGACTAGACTATAGACTAGACTATAGACTAGACTATAGACTAGACTATAGACTAGACTATAGACTAGACTATAGACTAGACTATAGACTAGACTATAGACTAGACTATAGACTAGACTATAGACTAGACTATAGACTAGACTATAGACTAGACTATGACTAGACTATAGACTAGACTATAGACTAGACTATAGACTAGACTATAGACTAGACTATAGACTAGACTATAGACTAGACTATAGACTAGACTATAGACTAGACTATAGACTAGACTATAGACTAGACTATAGACTAGACTATAGACTAGACTATAGACTAGACTATAGACTAGACTATAGACTAGACTATAGACTAGACTATAGACTAGACTATAGACTAGACTATAGACTAGACTATAGACTAGACTATAGACTAGACTATAGACTATAGACTAGATATAGACTAGACTATAGACTAGACTATAGACTAGACTATAGACTAGACTATAGACTAGACTATAGACTAGACTATAGACTAGACTATAGACTAGACTATAGACTAGACTATAGACTAGACTATAGACTAGACTATAGACTAGACTATAGACTAGACTATAGACTAGACTATAGACTAGACTATAGACTAGACTATAGACTAGACTATAGACTAGACTATAGACTAGACTATAGACTAGACTATAGACTAGACTATAGACTAGACTATAGACTAGACTATAGACTAGACGGTAGACTAATCTTACACTAATACTAGGCTATAAACTTGACCTCAGGAAAGTCAATGGATTATTTTTTTGATAATTAATGTACTGAACTAGAAAATAGTTAATAGGCCAATTTTTTGACTGATCCAATAGCTAATTTATAGATTAATCTGTTGAGTATTTAATAGTTCGTAGAAGATAGTTAACTCGGGAGTTGAAGGGTTCAGTCCAATTTTCAAAAATCACAGACATTAATCGCAAGCATTTTGAATTTTTTAATGGCAGAACTAAAACGAACTTTATAGAGATCAACTGTCACGTTAAAAGCTGTTAAGGCATTTTTAAACAAAATCGTCAAAGTCTTAATCTCACAAATCGGGCACTAAATTTTTGTTTAACAAACAAACGACTCTACTTTCCACACGGTTTATCTACAACTTTTCAGTTTTTGTTGAATTTATTAAATTGTTGAACAAATATCACTGTGTGTTTTCTTTTAATTAAAATTAATTTTTTTTCAAACAATTCACCTGTAGTTATCAATGAAGTCATATTTGCCTGATTATAGAAAAATTCCTTATATATATATTTTTTTTTTGTTATTTTTCAAAATAAATTGTTTAAGCAAAAAATTTTTAATTAATTTTATAATAATTTATTTATAAGCACGTTAGTTTTTGTTTAAACGTTTTTGTCTTTATTTATTATAATTATTGTTTATTTATTTAGTTTGTGTCATTTAATTTCACTTTATCTTTTATGCACTACTTCTAAACAAATAATGAATCTCGGCTATTCACTACAAAACCTCTTTATATTAGAATTTTTCTATAAAAAATAAAATAAATACTTTTTTTTTAAATAAAGACACGAACTTCACTTGAGTATGACTCAAATTTGGGTTTTTTTTCAATGTATAAAATTACTTATTGAGCTTTAAAAGTTTTATTGTATTTTAAGCACTTAGAGCAAATACAATTACTATTTGAGCTATAATTATGCATGTAAATTATATGGAGCGATTATTATTATTATTATTAGGGTGATTCCAATCATTGTTGGAGGCTGCAACAGTTAGACCTTCCCCTTAAACACGAAACGCAAAATTAAAATTATTTGCACTTATGATGTCACTTATACTTTTTTTTTGTATTAAACTTATTATTACTCACTTGTTATTTTACATATTTAATTTTTGTTTACAAATATTTTAATTAATTGGAAATATATTTTATGATTTTTTCCGTTTAATGGCTACATACCTTTGTTATCAAGTTCTTTTTAGATACTACGAGCTGAACGCATTTTAATATTTTTTTATTTATCTTTAAAAAACACTTGAGTTGAAACGTTTTAAGTGAAAACACATTTAAGGCGACGAGCGTCTAAGTTAATAACCAGCCTACCTGTCTAAGTAAACTTCTTGCTCTTTAGAAAGACGTTAGTTGTGCTTTCGGAAATCGCATTTTCTTTGGCAGAATTAAGATTGATAATTTCTATTACAGCACATTTCATCTCTCCAGATCCTACCGTCTAAAAGTATTATGTTTCCAATAGAGATCATATTGTTCTTATTTTATAACAATAATTTTCTAACCAATCTCAAAAAAATGTGTTAGCAAACTGATTTTTATTTAGTGTAGGCAATGTTTAGATTTTTCTGGCTGATCGTCGCTGTCGCCAACATTCTGTTTATTTCCTTACTCACGACAAACGTCACATATTTGCGTGTTTTATTTTTGGTATTTCTTATCTCTTCTTTTGACTCAATTGTATTATTTAAAGAGAGAATATATGAATTACTCTCCCTTTGATTTGAAGTAAATACTTTAGTATATATTATTTTCATACAAACATACTTAGATATGAGCACTTAAGTGATAAATAATGGACCTTTCTAATGGTACCAAACAAAACTAAAAAGTACCATAATGATACTGAACTAGAACTGAACTAGAACTGAACTAGAACTGAACTAGAACTGAACTAGAACTGAACTAGAACTGAACTAGAACTGACTACACTGAACTAAACTGAACTAGAACTGACTAGAACAGAACTAGAACAGAACTAGAACTACTAGACTGACTAAACTGAACTAACTGAACTAGAACTGAACTAGAACTGAACTAGAACTGAACTAGAACTGAACTAGAACTGAACTAGAACTGAACTAGAACTGAACTAGAACTGAACTAGAACTGAACTAGAACTGAACTAGAACTGAACTAGAACTGAACTAGAACTGAACTAGAACTGAACTAGAACTGACTAGAACTGAACTAGAACTGAACTAGAACTGAACTAGAACTGAACTAGAACTGAACTAGAACTGAACTAGAACTGAACTAGAACTGAACTAGAACTGAACTAGAACTGAACTAGAACTGAACTAGAACTGAACTAGAACTGAACTAGAACTGAACTAGAACTGAACTAGAACTGAACTAGAACTGAACTAGAACTGAACTAGAACTGAACTAGAACTGAACTAGAACTGAACTAGAACTGAACTAGAACTGAACTAGAACTGAACTAGAACTGAACTAGAACTGAACTAGAACTGAACTAGAACTGAACTAGAACTGAACTAGAACTGAACTAGAACTGAACTAGAACTGAACTAGAACTGAACTAGAACTGAACTAGAACTGAACTAGAACTGAACTAGAACTGAACTAGAACTGAACTAGAACTGAACTAGAACTGAACTAGAACTGAACTAGAACTGAACTAGAACTGAACTAGAACTGAACTAGAACTGAACTAGAACTGAACTAGAACTGAACTAGAACTGAACTAGAACTGAACTAGAACTGAACTAGAACTGAACTAGAACTGAACTAGAACTGAACTAGAACTGAACTAGAACTGAACTAGAACTGAACTAGAACTGAACTAGAACTGAACTAGAACTGAACTAGAACTGAACTAGAACTGAACTAGAACTGAACTAGAACTGAACTAGAACTGAACTAGAACTGAACTAGAACTGAACTAGAACTGAACTAGAACTGAACTAGAACTGAACTAGAACTGAACTAGAACTGAACTAGAACTGAACTAGAACTGAACTAGAACTGAACTAGAACTGAACTAGAACTGAACTAGAACTGAACTAGAATGAACTAGAACTGAACTAGAACTAAACTGAACTAGAACTACTGAACTAGAACTAGAACTGAACTAGAACTAGAACTAGAACTAGAACTGAACTAGAACTGAACTAGAACTGAACTAGAACTGAACTAGAACTGAACTAGAACTGAACTAGAACTGAACTAGAACTGAACTAGAACTGAACTAGAACTGAACTAGAACTGAACTAGAACTGAACTAGAACTGAACTAGAACTGAACTAGAACTGAACTAGAACTGAACTAGAACTGAACTAGAACTGAACTAGAACTGAACTAGAACTGAACTAGAACTGAACTAGAACTGAACTAGAACTGAACTAGAACTGAACTAGAACTGAACTAGAACTGAACTAGAACTGAACTAGAACTGAACTAGAACTGAACTAGAACTGAACTAGAACTGAACTAGAACTGAACTAGAACTGAACTAGAACTGAACTAGAACTGAACTAGAACTGAACTAGAACTGAACTAGAACTGAACTAGAACTGAACTAGAACTGAACTAGACTGAACTAGAACTGAACTAGAACTGAACTAGAACTGAACTAGAACTGAACTAGAACTGAACTAGAACTGAACTAGAACTGAAAGAACTAGAACTGAACTAGAACTGAACTAGAACTGAACTAGAACTGAACTAGAACTGAACTAGAACTGAACTAGAACTGAACTAGAACTGAACTAGAACTGAACTAGAACTGAACTAGAACTGAACTAGAACTGAACTAGAACTGAACTAGAACTGAACTAGAACTGAACTAGAACTGAACTAGAACTGAACTAGAACTGAACTAGAACTGAACTAGAACTGAACTAGAACTGAACTAGAACTGAACTAGAACTGAACTAGAACTGAACTAGAACTGAACTAGAACTGAACTAGAACTGAACTAGAACTGAACTAGAACTGAACTAGAACTGAACTAGAACTGAACTAGAACTGAACTAGAACTGAATTAGAACTGAACTAGAACTGAATTACAATTGAACTAGAACTGAAATAGAACTGAACTAGAACTGAACTAGAACTGAACTAGAACTGAACTAGAACTGAACTAGAACTGAACTAGAACTGAACTAGAACTGAACTAGAACTGAACTAGAACTGAACTAGAACTGAACTAGAACTGAACTAGAACTGAACTAGAACTGAACTAGAACTGAACTAGAACTGAACTGGAACTGAACTAGAACTGTACTAGAACTGTACTAGAACTGAACTAGAACTGAACTAGAACTGAACTAGAACTGAACTAAAACTGAACTAGAACTGAACTAGAACTGAACTAGAACTGAACTAGAACTGAACTAGAACTGAACTAGAACTGAACTAGAACTGAACTACTAAACTGAACTAGAACTGAACTAGAATGAACTAGAACTGAACTAGAACTGAACTAGAACTGAACTAGAACTGAACTAGAACTGAACTAGAACTGAACTAGAACTGAACTAGAACTGAACTAGAACTGAACTAGAACTGAACTAAACTGAACTAGAACTGAACTAGAACTAGAACTGAACTAGAACTGAATTAGAACTGAACTAGAACTGAATTACAACTGAACTAGAACTGAAATAGAACTGAAATAGAACTGAACTAGAACTGAACTAGAACTGAAATAGAACTGAAATAGAACTGAACTAGAACTGAACTAGAACTGAACTAGAACTGAACTAGAACTGAACTAGAACTGAACTAGAACTGAACTAGAACTGAACTAGAACTGAACTAGAACTGAACTAGAACTGAACTAGAACTGAACTAGAACTGAACTAGAACTGAACTAGAACTGAACTAGAACTGAACTAGAACTGAACTAGAACTGAACTAGAACTGAACTAGAACTGAACTAGAACTGAACTAGAACTGAACTAGAACTGAACTAGAACTGAACTAGAACTGAACTAGAACTGAACTAGAACTGAACTAGAACTGAACTAGAACTGAACTAGAACTGAACTAGAACTGAACTAGAACTGAACTAAAACTGAAATAGAACTGAACTAGAACTGAACTAAAACTGAACTAGAACTGAACTAGAACTGAATTAGAACTGAACTAGCACTGAATCACAACTGAACTAGAACTGTAATAGACTAGAATTGAACTAATGTTGTCCTCTGCTGTTGTAATCGGTCCATTATGTTACCTTTAAATTACATATTAATTGTAATATAATGAAATACAATATAATTAACTTTTATATCGGTGTAGGGTATCATATAAACGTGCCTTACCGACTATAGTTTCTTACTTGTTTTTCTTAAAAACAAAGTGCTCTTTATTAACACTAAAATGTTAAATGTTATTTTGTTTACCTTTTTGGTTTTATTCAATGGATCATTTTTTATTAATATACAAAAGCCCTCTTTCCTTTTGGGGTTAATTATTATCAATGAAACAAAATTTCGATTATTTCTGTCTGATCTCTGAGGTTCAACTTAATTCAACTGAGATTATTACATTTAGTTTCAATCAAACCGCGTAGCGCGTCTTAAATTGTGTTCAGTGTTTTCGAAAAAAAAGTGATTAAATTTTAATAAAAATATTTTGAGAATAATTAAAAAAAAACTCTAAAGAGGCAAAATGACATTGATTACAAGGTAAAACAATAAAGAAGACTAGTGAATATTTTATTGAAATATGTTTATAAACGTGGCGCATTTATGGTGATATTTTGTATATCTTAACTAGCGTTTTTGTGTGCAAGGGGCTAGTGACGTCAAACGATTTCTTCATCATACTGTTAGTATTTGACGTCATTATCTTATGATGGTAGAAAATTGTTAGTTAGGGTGGTATCAACATGTAATCACTGATATTCTTGTACACAAAATATATAGAAAACTGCGTATATGTATATTGTATATCTGATTCAAAATTCATCAGTTTTTTAAATATTTCACAATAATATTTCCGCCAGAATTTCTAAATCACAATCTAAATTATATTAAAATGTATATAAAGTAAAAATTCAACAGACCTTAATCGCGTGCGTTATGTTGTTTTTAACATTTCTTCGATATTTTTCGGAACAATTTTGTTTTGATTATTTGTGAATAAGTTGTTTTTGTTTGATTTCAAATTGTTCCGATTATACTCAAAAAAGTGATAAGATGATAGTTCTTCCCCGAAATGTAATAAATTTTGGTTTCCCGTTCAAAAAGAAAACCACTGTTAATACTTTAAAAAACATTATTCTTTTAAATAACATCGGATTAGGTTTAATCTATTTATTAAATAAAATTAATGAAAGAGAAATGAAATACGATGAGAAAGAAGTACGAACTAGAACTAGAACTGAACTAGAACTGAACTAGAACTGAACTAGAACTGAACTAGAAGAACTGAACTAGAACTGAACTAGAACTGAACTAGAACTGAACTAGAAACTGAACTAGAACTGAACTAGAACTGAACTAGAACTGAACTAGAACTGAACTAGAACTGAACTAGAACTGAACTAGAACTGAACTAGAACTGAACTAGAACTGAACTAGAACTGAACTAGAACTGAACTAGAACTGAACTAGAACTGAACTAGAACTGAACTAGAACTGAACTAGAACTGAACTAGAACTGAACTAGAACTGAACTAGAACTGAACTAGAACTGAACTAGATAACTAGAACTGAACTAGAACTGAACTAGAACTGAACTAGAACTGAACTAGAACTGAACTAGAACTGAACTAGAACTGAACTAGAACTGAACTAGAACTGAACTAGAACTGAAATAGAACTGAACTAGAACTGAAATAAAACTGAAGTAGAACTGAACTAGAACTGAACTAGAACTGAACTAGAACTGAACTAGAACTGAACTAGAACTGAACTAGAACTGAACTAGAACTGAACTAGAACTGAACTAGAACTGAACTAGAACTGAACTAGAACTGAACTAGAACTGAACTAGAACTGAACTAGAACTGAACTAGAACTGAACTAGAACTGAACTAGAACTGAACTAGAACTGAACTAGAACTGAACTAGAACTGAACTAGAACTGAACTAGAACTGAACTAGAACTGAACTAGAACTGAACTAGAACTGAACTAGAACTGAACTAGAACTGAACTAGAACTGAACTAGAACTGAACTAGAACTGAACTAGAACTGAACTAGAACTGAACTAGAACTGAACTAGAACTGAACTAGAACTGAACTAGAACTGAACTGGAACTGAACTAGAACTGAACTGAACTAGGACTGAACTAGAACTGAACTAGAACTGAACTAGAACTGAACTAGAACTGAACTAGAACTGAACTAGAACTGAACTAGAACTGAACTAGAACTGAACTAGAACTGAACTAGAACTGAACTAGAACTGAACTAGAACTGAACTAGAACTGAACTAGAACTGAACTAGAACTGAACTAGAACTGAACTAGAACTGAACTAGAACTGAACTAGAACTGAACTAGAACTGAACTAGAACTGAACTAGAACTGAACTAGAACTGAACTAGAACTGAACTAGAACTGAACTAGAACTAAACTAGAACTGAACTAGAACTTAACTAGAACTGAATTAGATCTGAACTAGAACTGAACTAGAACTAAACTAGAACTTAACTAGAACTGAACTAGAACTGAACTAGAACTGAACTAGAACTGAACTAGAACTGAACTAGAACTGAACTAGAACTGAACTAGAACTGAACTAGAACTGAACTAGAACTGAACTAGAACTGAACTAGAACTGAACTAGAACTGAACTAGAACTGAACTAGAACTGAACTAGAACTGAACTAGAACTGAACTAGAACTGAACTAGAACTGAACTAGAACTGAACTAGAACTGAACTAGAACTGAACTAGAACTGAACTAGAACTGAACTAGAACTGAACTAGAACTGAACTAGAACTGAACTAGAACTGAACTAGAACTGAACTAGAACTGAACTAGAACTGAACTAGAACTGAACTAGAACTGAACTAGAACTGAACTAGAACTGAACTAGAACTGAACTAGAACTGAACTAGAACTGAACTAGAACTGAACTAGAACTGAACTAGAACTGAACTAGAACTGAACTAGTACTGAACTAGAACTGAACTAGAACTGAACTAGAACTGAACTAGAACTGAACTAGAACTGAACTAGAACTGAACTAGAACTGAACTAGAACTGAACTAGAACTGAACTAGAACTGAACTAGAACTGAACTAGAACTGAACTAGAACTGAACTAGAACTGAACTAGAACTGAACTAGAACTGAACTAGAACTGAACTAGAACTGAACTAGAACTGAACTAGAACTGAACTAGAACTGAACTAGAACTGAAGTAGAACTGAACTAGAACTGAACTAGAACTGAACTAGAACTGAACTAGAACTGAACTAGAACTGAACTAGAACTGAACTAGAACTGAACTAGAACTGAACTAGAACTGAACTAGAACTGAACTAGAACTGAACTAGAACTGAACTAGAACTGAACTAGAACTGAACTAGAACTGAACTAGAACTGAACTAGAACTGAACTAGAACTGAACTAGAACTAGAACTGAACTAAAACTGAACTAGAACTGAACTAGAACTGGACTGCTGAACTACTGAACTAGAACTGAACAGAACTTGAATCGAACTAGAACTGAATATAAGAGATTTTCGAAACCTACGTATCTTTCGCACTACAAAATTATACGGTAAACACCAGGACCTTAGATATGTTCATAGATTACAATTCTTTAATTTTTTTTTTGAATAACTAACTCATTTCTCTTTTCTTTTCTTTATAGTCAAAATTTCACAAATACTTTGTATTTCTGCTTTTCTTCTCCTTCTTATTTTACCCTCTCCCACACTTTCTGTTAGCCAGCCTAAAACCGCTAACACCATGGCCGATACACAATTCAATAAAGGTTTGGAGTCATTTGGCATTCGTCTATTCTCGGAATTGGTAAAGAAGAATCAGGGTAAAACAATAGTATTTTCTCCATTCTCTATACAAACATGCATTGCTATGGCACGTATGGGAGCCGAGGGTAAGACCGCCCAAGAAATGGATCAGGGTTTGGCGCTTACCGTTCAAAACCCAGAAGAGTTGGCTAACAATTATCATGCTATATTGGAGTTATACGAAAACAGTCCTATTCTTAAAATAGCCAATAAGATTTATGTCATGGAGAGCTATGAAGTGCAGGAGAAATTCAACGAATTGTTGACCAACAATTCTTTTCAGCTGTTTGAGTCTGTTAATTTTGCCAATAAAGATGCAGCAGCCAAGACTATAAACACTTGGGTGGAAAAATAAAACCAATAATTTGATTAAAGATTTGATAAATCCACAGATTTTGGGTGCCGATACACGTTTGGTGTTGGTTAATGCTATACATTTAAGGGTGAATGGGTCAATAAATTCCCCGAACGTGCCACCCGAGAAATGGATTTCTATTTAGATGAGACCAACACTGTTAAAGTGCAAATGATGCATATAAATGAACGTTTCAATTATGGAGAATTTCCCGAATTAGATGCCACCCCGCTTTGGAAATGCCTTATAAAGATTCTGATCTTTCCATGTTGATCATTTTACCCAACTCACGTACCGGTTTGGCTGATTTGGAGGAAAAATTGAAAATGTCTCGTTGCCCTGATTTAACCAAACGCATGTTTAATACCAAAGTTATTGTGGATATGCCTAAATTTAAGGCTGAATTTGAAGTTGAACTAACTGAGGCCTTGAAAAATGTAAGTTGTTTTTTTAGGGAATTATTTAATATAATTTTTAATTGTGTTTATATTTCTTAAAGTTGGGCATGAATCGCATGTTTACGGGTCAAGCTGAATTTGGTAAAATGTTAAAATCCGCTGAACCTTTACAAGTATCCAAGGTCATTCATAAAGCTTTCATTGAAGTCAATGAAAAGGGCACTGAAGCTGCTGCTGCTACCTGTAAGTTAAATTCCTTTTATTTTGGTTTTGCATTTTTATGTTTTATATTGGGTTTTTGGTTTTAAAAATTCTATGGTGTTCTTTGTCTTAATATCGCTTGAAATGCTCGTTGTTTTTGGTAGTGATTAATGGAAAAAGAGCAGCTTGAATAGTTGATATTTTACCTATTCGGAGATTTGTTTAGAAACGTTTTATTTTTAAATAACTTGGATATTTCTGAAATGAACTGATTCCAAATCAAAAAGTGGAACTAACAGGTGATAAATTAATCAATAAACTAAGCCATAGACCGGCCCCTAGACTTCTGAATAATTATGCTATTCCCTAGACGAATCTTTATACTTGCCCACTATATAACAGTTATTGGACCAATCCGTAGACTAGTTAATGCACTACTTAATAAACTAGCCTATAGACTAGTTAATAGATTAGTCCATAAAACAATCTAAATATTAGTTAGTATAGGATATTCAATAGACTAGTTTATAATCATTAAATAGACTAGTTCAGAATCATTACACTGGTCCATAGAAGACTGGTCTACCGACTAATCAATGGAATGTAATAGTCAAGAGACTAGTCCATTCATTCAATAGACTAGTTCAGAATCATTACACTGGTCCACCGACTGGTCCCATAGAAGACTGGTCTACCGACTAACCAAGGAATGTAATAGTCAAGAGACTAGTCAACGGAGTGGTTAATATAATATTTTATATGCTAGTACCAGGACCGGTCAATTGACTAGTACAGAAACTTGTCAATAATAGACTATATAACAATCCCTAGATTACTGAATAAACTAATCCATAGACTAACCTATTGAATAGTCAATAAACTAGTCCAGGGACCAATTCGCAGACAAGTTAATGGACCATTTTTATACACTACTTCACAGACTGATCTAAAGACTTATGGATATACTTGTAAACGGATAAGTCCAAGTCAATAAAAATAATCTTTAAACTGGTTTACTGACTAATCAATAGACTAATCCATAGTCGAGAGACTGGACCACAGAATGATGTGTATAATATTTTATATACCAGTCTGGTTGGTTGACTAGTTTAGAAATTTGTCAATATTCTAGTCAATAGATAAATCCATCACGTATATATTTAATAAACTATAGACTTAAAAAAAGAGACTTTATTAGTTTTCAGACTGGTCAAGAAACTAGTCTAGAAACCAGACAATAGACTGTACTATTTCCCAGACTGGTTAATAGAATAGTTTAGGAACTGGTCAATTGACCAATCTATAGATTAGTTGATAGATCAGACTTGTCTGTTTGTTTTACTACTTCATAAATTTGTTTTGGAGTCTAAGGAATATGTAGATTATTCTATCCGTGTATACTATACTATAGACTGGAAAGGAGACTGTATTAGTTATCAGATTGGTCAAAAAACTAGTCCAGAAATCGGACAATAGACTGTTAGTTCTCAGACTAGTTAATAGAATAGTTTAGAAACTGGTCAATTGACTAATCTATAGATTAGTCAATAGACTATAGATTCGTCAATAGACCAGACCAGTTCTCAGCAAACAAGTTCATAAGCTTATCAATAGTTTAGTCCATAGAAGAATGTTGGAACTGATCGACGGACCAGTCCCATATATTAGTTAATTATCTAATACACATTAAAGTTGAAATTGGTCAAAAAGCTAGTCCAGAAATCGGACAATAGACTGTTAGTTCTCAGACTAGTTAATAGAATAGTTTAGAAACTGGTCAATTGACTAATCTATAGATTAGTCAATAGACTATAGATTCGTCCATAGACCAGACTAGTTCTCAGCAAACAAGTTCATGAGCTTATCAATAGCTTAGTCCATAGAACAATGTTGGAATTGATCAACGGACTAGTCCATATATTAGTTAATTATCTAATACACATTAACGTTGAAATACTAGTACAAAGAGTGGTGAATAACCTTGTCCATAGACTATTTTATAGTTTAGGTCCCCAGACTACTCAATTGACTAGATCTGAAACTTGACAAGTCAACAGATTAGACTATATATATTTCTGATACTGGTCAATAAACAAGTCTAGAAACAGGTTCAGAGACTAGTCCTTATGGCTAAGTCATTTAATTAATCCATGTTATATATTAGTACATAGACCGTTCAATAGACTTTTCCCCAGACTGGCCCACTGACTAGCCAACGGACCAGGGCATAGGCAAGTCAATAGACTACTCACCATACTAGTCCATGCAGTGGACAATAGGCAAGTCCATAGAATATTTCATAGTTTGGCCCAATACTATTCGATTAACTATTTCATGAGCCGATCCAAGTTTTAAAGTTTTCATATCAGACCTCCTTAAGATATACGATTTTATTAGAAAATATTTTCAAAACTTTCTAAAAAAATGTATGGAACTTGTATTAAATTAAACGGACATCGTGGAATTGAGTCAATGATGGGAAAAATGTAACTTGCAAGCTGCTTTTATCCAATAACTATCTTTATCATATCATAAATAAAACTGCTTATTAGAATATTGACATCCACAAATACACTGCTCTTTCTAATTTTTACATTTTGCATGAACATTTGATCTAACTATTTCTGCTTTATCTTTAACACCCTTTCGATTTTTCCCCGCTTGTTTACATTCTATTAATTCTATCTGAAATTAGAAGTTTCTGTAGTTTTTGTTTTTCTATTAGTATTTCATCTTAAATGCATAATTTTCTCTATTCATAAAAAAATATATATATATTTTGTCTTTCGTCTCACATCTTTAGCCACGGTTATAAGAAAGAAACGAGCTCTTGTAGATATGTCCGATATTATAGAGTTTAACGTTGAACATCCATTTGTGTTTAAGATTCTACAGAAAACTTCATCTGAAACCACCACAACATCTTCTACAAATTTAGTTTTATTTGCGGGTAAAATTGTAAAAATTAATGAAATTATTAATTCGGCAACTTTAAATTAAGATTAGAACTTTAAGTTAAAAAAAAAAAAAAACCGTTTTATAAAGAATATTTTTGAAGAATTAAAAACCAGCTGAAAATTTTGCATGCAAAAAAAACTGACTTTTCATTGATGTTTCAAAAAAGTATGGGTAGAATGGATTGATTTAATAATTTATTTTATAGACTATTAATTTTAGAATAATTTTAAGTCTTGTAAAAATAGCTAGCCATATTTTCAGCTATTAAATAAATCATTAATACTAAGAACTTTTTAATGAAATATTCATAGATTTTACAAAAAAAAAAAAAAAAACAATCGCCGATTGTTTTTTGTACGTTATATGGTTTATAAATAAAATAAAATAAATAGTTCAGTACTAGTTCAGTTCTAGTTCAATTCTAGTTCAGTTCTAGTTCAGTTCTAATTCAGTTCTAGTTCAGTTCTAGTTCAGTTCTAGTTCAATTTTAGTTCAGTTATAGTTCAGTTCTACTTCAATTCTAGTTCAATTCTAGTTCAGTTCTAGTTCAGTTCTAGTTCACTTCTAGTTCAGTTCTAGTTCAGTTCTAGTTCAGTTCTAGTTCAGTTCTAGTTCAGTTCTAGTTCAGTTCTAGTTCAGTTCTAGTTCAGTTCTAGTTCAGTTCTAGTTAAGTTCTAGTTCAGTTCTAGTTCAGTTCTAGTTCAGTTCTAGTTCAGTTCTAGTTCAGTTCTAGTTCAGTTCTAGTTCAGTTCTAGTTCAGTTCTAGTTCAGTTCTAGTTCAGTTCTAGTTCAGTTCTAGTTCAGTTCTAGTTCAGTTCTAGTTCAGTTCTAGTTCAGTTCTAGTTCAGTTCTAGTTCAGTTCTAGTTCAGTTCTAGTTCAGTTCTAGTTCAGTTCTAGTTCAGTTCTAGTTCAGTTCTAGTTCAGTTCTAGTTCAGTTCTAGTTCAGTTCTAGTTCAGTTCTAGTTAAGTTCTAGTTAAGTTCTAGTTCAGTTCTAGTTCAGTTCTAGTTCAGTTCTAGTTCAGTTCTAGTTCAGTTCTAGTTCAGTTCTAGTTCAGTTCTAGTTCAGTTCTAGTTCAGTTCTAGTTCAGTTCTAGTTCAGTTCTAGTTCAGTTCTAGTTCAGTTCTAGTTCAGTTCTAGTTCAGTTCTAGTTCAGTTCTAGTTCAGTTCTAGTTCAGTTCTAGTTCAGTTCTAGTTCAGTTCTAGTTCAGTTCTAGTTCAGTTCTAGTTCAGTTCTAGTTCAGTTCTAGTTCAGTTCTAGTTCAGTTCTAGTTCAGTTCTAGTTCAGTTCTAGTTCAGTTCTAGTTCAGTTCTAGTTCAGTTCTAGTTCAGTTCTAGTTCAGTTCTAGTTCAGTTCTAGTTCAGTTCTAGTTCAGTTCTAGTTCAGTTCTAGTTCAGTTCTAGTTCAGTTCTAGTTCAGTTCTAGTTCAGTTCTAGTTCAGTTCTAGTTCAGTTCTAGTTAAATTCTAGTTCAGTTCTAGTTCAGTTCTAGTTCATTTCTAGTTCAGTTATAGTTCAGTTCTAGTTCAGTTCTAGTTCAGTTCTAGTTCAGTTCTAGTTCAGTTCTAGTTCAGTTCTAGTTCAGTTCTAGTTCAGTTCTAGTTCAGTTCTAGTTCAGTTCTAGTTCAGTTCTAGTTCAGTTCTAGTTCAGTTCTAGTTCAGTTCTAGTTCAGTTCTAGTTCAGTTCTAGTTCAGTTCTAGTTCAGTTCTAGTTCAGTTCTAGTTCAGTTCTAGTTCAGTGTTAGTTCAGTTCTAGTTCAGTTCTAGTTCAGTTCTAGTTAAGTTCTAGTTAAGTTCTAGTTCAGTTCTAGTTCAGTTCTAGTTCAGTTCTAGTTCAGTTCTAGTTCAGTTCTAGTTCAGTTCTAGTTCAGTTCTAGTTCAGTTCTAGTTCAGTTCTAGTTCAGTTCTAGTTCAGTTCTAGTTCAGTTCTACTTCAATTCTAGTTCAGTTCTAGTTCAGTTCTAGTTCAGTTCTAGTTCAGTTCTACTTCAGTTCTAGTTCAGTTCTAGTTCAGTTCTAGTTCAGTTCTAGTTCAGATCTAGTTCAGTTCTAGTTCAGTTCTAGTTCAGTTCTAGTTCAGTTCTAGTTCAGTTCTAGTTCAGTTCTAGTTCAGTTCTAGTTCAGTTCTAGTTCAGTTCTAGTTCAGTTCTAGTTCAGTTCTAGTTCAGTTCTAGTTCAGTTCTAGTTCAGTTCTAGTTCAGTTCTAGTTCAGTTCTAGTTCAGTTCTAGTTCAGTTCTAGTTCAGTTCTACTTCAGTTCTAGTTCAGTTCTAATAATATATAATGCTAAGATAGAGGATTTCATATAAGATCTCCTACAGTTATCACTTGAATGCTTTATTTCTATTAATCGAACTTCGCCCTTTTCTTTTAGTGATGATTAGATTTATACCATATCCTATTTTGGCTGGTTGATTGTTATGATATGTATGCATTTGCGAGCATTTCTTTTAAAAAAATATGTATGTAAAATGTACTACTAGAAAATCGTTTTTAGTACATAACGTAAATTTCCGCTCTAAAATAATTGCAAGATTGTCACTTTAATTAGATTACATTTAAACTTAACTTTCATCTATAACACCGTGCAACAGTCGTTTTCACACATTAAAAAGGTCTATATGTACAGGAAACTGTGGACCATTAGTATTAACTCTGTGTACTCAGTTTTTCATATGTTTTTCTAATGTCCCTGTAAAAGGACATTAAAGTTTAAAGGACATACGATTTCAAAAGATGAAATTCCAATTTATATAAAAAATTTGGTGTTAATATTAATATCAAATGAATCTGAGGACCTCTGCTTCCAAATAATATTATTTATTTATTACCGGAGTACGCAGAATTGCAATAAATGGAATCTAGTTTCACATGCATATCAACTTTTCTATGTGTGAGACCTTTGTTTTCAAAATTCTTACAGGGTGTAATATGTATTTGACTTTCGATTAGTTGTCTCAAGCACATTTTCAAAAGTATAATACTACGTCTACAATGTGGTGATGTGCCAAAAATTTCGCCAAATTAGTTATATCCCTAGTCTACATATTCTAAATTAAGTTTACAAGTTTTAATTTTATTTGTTTATTTTTTGTTTTATTTATTTATTTTATATGGATATGTGACTGCACAGTCATAAGTTGTGATTTCATATTCCCTTGTTTCAAAGTGGAAAAGCCATTTTTAATGCAAATCATCTCAACACGATCAAGAAGAATAATTTACTTTCATGCATCTATATGTGCGCCGATATAAAAGCAAAATGGAATGTTAAAAATTGCATCAAATTACGCAGACGAACAAATTTTTGAAC